CAGCCAATCGCTCAGACAAACAAGTTTGGTTACAATTTGCAGGAGCTAATGCTGCCCGCTTCTTGTTTACAATGTCACCTGAAAGTGAGAACAGGAGTTGTCATGGCACTGTTGTAGCTGGCGTCACAAGATATTTACATGCCAGATGCACTAAAGATTCATATGTGTCTTCATGCTTCAACCACCATTCCAGGGGACATGCGTCCATTCTGATGACGGGTTCTGCTCAATAACAATCCAAAGCAGTGCGGACTGACGCATGTTTATTTTCATTATCTGAGTCAGATGCCACCAGCACAAGGTTGATTTTCTTTTTTGGTGGTTCGGGTTCTTTAGTTTCCGCATTGGAGTGCTGCTCTTTTAAGACATATGAAAGCATCCTCCACACTTCATCCCTCTCAGATTTTGGAAGGCACTTCAGATTCTTAAACCTTGGGTCGAGTGCTGTAGCTATCTTTAGAAATCTCACATTGGTACCTTCTTTGCGTTTTGTCTAATCTTCAGTGAAAGTGTTCTTAAAATGAACAACATGTGCTGGGTCATCATCCGAGACTGCTGTAACATGAAATATATGGCAGAATGTGGGTAAAACAGAGCAGGGGATATATAATTTTCTCCCAAGGAGTTCAGTCACAAATTTAATTAACTCATTATTTTTTAACGTGTGTCATCAGCATGGAAGCATGTCCTCGGGAACGGTGGCCGAGGCATGAAGGGGCATACAAATGTTTAGCATATCTGGCACATGAATACCTTGCAATGCTGGCTACAAAAATCCCATGCAAACACCTGTTCTCACTGTCTGGTGACACTGTAGATAAGAAGAGGGCAGCATTATCTCCTATAAATATAAACAAACTTAGCGATTGGCTGAATGGGAAGTAGGACTGAGTGGAATTGTAGGCTTTGAAGTTTTACATTGTTTTGTTTTTGAGTGCAGTTATGTAACAAAAAAAATCTACATTTGTAAGTTGCACTTTCATAACAAAGAGATTGCACTACAGTAATTGTATGATGTGAATTGAAAAATACTATTTATTTTATCATTTTTACAGTGCAAATATATATAATCAAAAATAATATACAGTTTGATTTCAATTACAACACAGAATATAATACATAGGAAAATGTAGAAAAACATTCAAATATTTAATAAATTTAAATTGGTATTCTATTGTTTAACATTATGATTAAAACTACGATTAATTTTTTTGAGTTAATCATGTGAGTTAACTGCGATTAATCGACAGCCCTAGTGGAAACATATGAGAAACGCTGTTTTAGAGAATATATGTATAGCATTTTTTTAATGCAAACAACATAGAAAATAGGACTCTGAGTTGATTCTGGAAAGTGTCACAAAGAAGCCAACATTCCACGACTTTTAAACATTATAAATTTAGAGACAAGCTAGTAAAATTCTAAAAACCTAATCCTTCCCTTGTCCATGCTGTGATGAGGATCAACCAGAAGGCTGACAACTATAGCTTCCATTCTAGGAATCCTGTCTGCAAGGATAGAATTCCACGGTATAGGCATGGGGAACAGAAAGGAGCAGCACAAGTCACTAGCTAATACATGCTATTCACTAAGCATGCATGCTTGGACAAACAGAGAGTGGGACATATTTTTAAGTTAGCAAATTGTGTCCTTTTACTTGCAGTATGCAGTCCCTAATTCAGAGCACATGGGAATATCCCATGAAGAGATCCTGTCCTGCTGCTTGCATGGAATGGGAAGATGGTACCTTTAGACTCTTTCACCTTAGCACTCACTTGCAGCATAGAGAAACGTCTTAGCTCTAACACGGCTGAGCAATACAGCAGCTACTTGTCTAGGAATTTTTTCACTTCAAGGTCCCAGAAACAAAGACAAGGTTTTCATCTCGAGGCCAAAAGACCAAAAACATCAAGACACTTGATCACGGCCTTGGATAGACCAAGAGACTACCTACACTTGACCAGAGCTATACCAATCAAGCTCTAGATTTGTTGAGAAATGGATTAACCACTATTCATATTCTCCTCCAAAAAGTTCTGCAAGACCTTGGTAGAATGAGTCACCCTTGAAGCAGTTTTGTAAACAGAGAGAATGAGGGGGAGTAGCAGACACTTAACCAACAGAGGAAGTCTAGAGTATGTGGACACAGTGAACATAAATGAACTCAGAACCCTTTGGAGGTGACTGGGCTCATTCAATTAACAATGCACTTTCTAAAAACTGCCAAAGTAATGATGAATGTGGTACTGAATGTGAAACACATATCGTTCTTGCAAAGCATCAATGATGGGCTCCACACTCCAGGAAAGATGTGGAAAAATTGGAGAAATTCCAAAGGATTAAAGGTCTAGAAAACATGACCTAGGAGAAAAGACTGAAAAAATTGGGTTTGTTTAGTCTGGAGAAGAGAACACTGAGGGGGGACATAACTGTCAAGCACGTAAAAGACTGTTATAAAGAGAAGGGTGATAAATTGTTCTCCTTATCCACTGAGGACAGGACAAGAAGTAATGGGCTTAAATTGCAGCAAGAGAGATTTAGGTTACATACTAGGAAAAAACTTCCTAACTGTAATGGTAGTTAAGAACTGGAAAAAATTACCTAGGGAGGTGGTGGAATCTCCACCATTGGAGGTTTTTAAGAACAGGTTAGACAAACACCTGTCAGGGATGGTCTAGATAATACTTAGTCCTCCCTCAGTGCAGGGGACTGGACTAGAGGCCCTATCAAGGTCCCTTCAAGTCCTACATTTATATTGTTTTTCAAGTGAATAATAAGCATTCCCAACGTTAGAACACACTCCAAATTGTCACACAATAACCTAGCATAGCTTTATCTAATAAATATTTATTCTTAGTACTAGCACCAAAACATCCTTTCTTCCAATATCTCCATAAGCTCCTCATTCATTTCAGGATTGAGTGAAAAACTTCTCTCCTCATTCTAACACCCTCTCTGGGCTTGTTCAACTCTACTTTTATGGATCCTATCTGTCTCTACTCCACTTATTTAATCATTAGTCTTCTCTCAATCTGTATAACATACTATTGAAAGTGTAAGAGCCTTCTTTTCTGCAAATTCTTACATCTGAAATAGCATTCTTCTATTACTCTACTTTATGTGCACTCCACTCTCTTGTTGTTTACACCTGAGATTTGAAAGCAACTGCCTTTAATGTTGCTTATAAGGTCACCAAGAAGTGCAATCCTGCCACACAGTAAATTTACTGAAGCACCACAGAACTATTTACGGAACAGCATTATATATCATATTTCACAGTTCAACTGTAAATTTACTATAGGAAAACTACATTTTTGGGGACCTTCACTACAACCTCTTAATTTCTCTGTCCTCTTCTGCTACTATTTAATTCTAATTACACAAATTGACCTCTATCTACTTGGGAAAAGCCAATTTGGGGAAATTAAGCTCTACTAGTTCACACAGAGAGTTTATTTAGAATTGTCTCAGAGTTTGTAGGTTTTCTCCCTCCTTCTACCTCAAGGAACTGGCCAGCATTTTGTCTCCCCAATCCCATGGATCACTAGAAATCTGCAGAAACCATATCCATCTGTCCAAAGGCCTTCTGTTCTGTCCCCAACCCAAAGTAGAAGTTTCAGATCTGGGTCCCCTCCATTTCTGGAAGTGGAGGGGACCTCTCAGACCAATAATATATAAAACTCTGTAAAGTTCTTTGAATTCTCTCCTGTATAGAAAGTGTCATACATAATGAAGTTGTATTTATCATATACACTTTGGAGAAAAAGGAGAAAAAACAGAAAAGGGGAAAAATATCCTCTTACCAAAATAAAGATAATATTTATGCCAAAACAGTATTTTATTGCTTTAATGAACTGCTTATAAATATTCCTAAATACATATTCACATGATCTTAAATAGATGCCTAACTGAGACAACTGAGTGATACAAGCATGCATGTACCCACAGGGGTGCCGAGGTAAACATATTGCTGTTCTGGAATAGCAAAGTAATTTGTAGACCTAAATTAACTCTACTTCATACTCATTTTTCAAGTTCTTCATTTTGTTTTACTATATGTATTTTTTGCAATAAGGCTAGGTCCAGGGGATCTACTGTATTGTGCCAGACACCATCCCTGCTTGGGTTGTATAACCCAGGGTGCGTAACGAAGAGTTAGTCGACTGTAAATTGAGGATGAAGGTTTAATGAAGCACACACTTGACTCAGGAAAAGTACAGTGCATGTATTTTCTTGAGTTAATCACATAAAAATCTCTCATAAATAGTGCCTGCATTTTCAATGCCTCAAGCCCTTATTTAAATACTCTACTCTACAGAGAAATCTCACTTTTTGCATGTAGTACACATGCACACAGCACACCTCTTGTTGGCACCTAAATCACAAAGAACAGGGATGACGAAAAACAGCTACAGCAAACCGTTACTTATTAGGCAAAAATCACCATCCATTCCATCCTGATAGCTGCGCAGATTTAAAGGTTATATTTGAATTAATTCTTGCATTGCTTTTCTGATGTTGGTGATAATACCACGTTATCATTATATCACAATTGGCTGCAGTTTTATGTGAGTAGGAAGAAGGGATGTAGGGTCAGAATAAGCACAATAATAAAATGGACTTAGTGAATCCTAGGCTCCTGCATAGTCTTTAAAATGGAATCTAATCAATCAGTGTGTTAGTTTTGTTAGTCAATTAATCCAGGCAGATTCTCCCCTCCCTCCCCATCCTGATGGGTAAAACTTTGGGTAAAAACTGATTTTTTTTCATTTGGAAGAAAACTCCTTTCATTGTTACACATTTGCAAGGACAATTTAATCAGGAATACAAAGTAACTCTACTGACACTTTTCCAGCCCACCAACCAAACATTTTGAAAGGTCTGATTTTCAGCTTCTTAGCTAAATTTCTGAAATTCAAAATAAAATTATTACTGGGAACATCTCACTAGTCCAAACTTTCTCACAAAATGAGCACTGTCAATACAGTCACTTATTTTACCTTGAGAAGGTATGTGGGAATATTGCTGAAATCCACTGGTAACTTTAAAAGGAAGCGAGCTGAGAATTCACCAGTCTGAGGAGAAAGGAACAAAAATAATGAGACCTACAGCTGAAGTGATCTCACTCTCCATTATCTACAGCAGACAGGGTCACAGGCTGAACCTATTCAGACTGAAATATTTAGCAAGCCAGTATCTTCTAGCAACTGGGGGAGGTAGAGTTAAGCAACAGCTTTCAATGGTAATTGTTGAAAATGAAAAAAAACATTTATTTACAGCTTTCACAATAAGCAGTATGGCAGTGTATCCCAAGACTCTCAGGGCATTGCTCCCACTGAGTCAATGGTAAAAAGGTCCTTAGAGAGCATAATGGCTGGCACCATATCAGAACCTACATTAGATTAAACCAGGCCCTATGTCTTCTCTTTACTCATGACCGTTGAAGTCATTGCTTCTGCAGCCACAAGTTAACTTGCATCCTAAGTGTTTTAACAAATGGATTACATCTAGTAGCATAAATTATTCCCATGAATGTAAATACCTCATGAAAACTCAAATTACAATAAGGGGTGGAACATAAAGGTCATCAATGACGTGTTGCACAAACTACATCCTGACTGCTAAATAGGTATGTCTTTAAAGGACTCTACTTTAAAAATCATAGGCAAAATAATTACTATTCTGTATTGCATCCAGAATACAATGTAATACACAATCTCTCTATTGTGGTGTCACTTAAACATCCCAATCAGGACAAGGGCCCTACTGTACTGAATACTGTACAAACACAGAGGTAGACAGTCAATACCCTGAAGAGTTTACAATCTAATTTTAGGGCTAGATTTTCTGAAGAGTTTGGAACCCAACAGTTCTCACTTAGGCACCTAAATATATTGCTCAGATTTTCAAAAGTGCTCAGCACTCAGTAGCTCCCACTGGGAATGAGGAGAAAATTTTGCCCCTTTGTTTAGGTGCCATAGTGGAAACTGAGCATGTTTTTTGAAAATCAGGCCCCACTTTTGCAAATCTGGCTATTTGTGTGTTTCAGTACAGCATTTAGATGCATCGGAAATTAGCATGCCTTGCACACATCTCTAATTTTTTTTTTTAAATGGGAAATTCATTATATGTATTTTGATCGTACACTTATTTAATATAGTGACTGCCTGAATGTTACTGGGAAGAACTGGCATAATTACCACTAATAACTAAAGAGACTGCAGCCATGCCAATCTCATCAACACTTTCTGCTACACTGAAAAGAAGGCCCCAAAAATACAGTGAAAGTACTATGGTATCAGATAAAAAGAATAATTTTTCCTTGCAACAGAATAATCACATATAAGACGAAATGTCCTTTTTCACAACTGAAGAGACTTGTTGAGAGAAAAAAGGGATGTAACAAGGTTACTCTTTCAATAGATGTCTACTGTATACATCTCTATTTCCAGGGATTTAAAATATGCCTTAAAAATCCTTTGGGCATTTACCGTCCAACTGTACAAGATCTTTCTCTGACAAAACTCTATTAGAACATTTTAAAGTTATACTAGTGGGGGAAAATAGAAAAACATGGATAGAGTCTTCCTCTTGCCCCATCATTCAGGTATGTGCTTGCTTGTTAAATAACATTTTTCATGCCATTAATTTCCAAAGTGGGATAGTGTCTCTGAATGGGAAAAAAAAATAAAATAGACTAGTAGATGTTTTATTTTATAAAGAGCGCTACAGAACCTGTATGGCAATGTAAATTACTTCTTTTAAATAGACATTTATGCAAACTAGGTGTTATTGTAGTCTAGAAACCAAATTTTAGCTTTTCACCATTTTAGACCACAAATTAGTCTGGCCATAATTCATCCATATTGAAAATTTCACTCTGTCAACTAATAATAATTAGAAATGAGCAAAGGAAGTTTTGTTCAAATCAGAATCCACACTGGACTATGATATGGGTTCCAGGACAAACTAGAAGTACCAGAGCTATAATTTGAGTTTGGAGGATGCCATAAATCTCATGAGCTGTTTGATAAACTGCAAAATGGGGTTCTCTCACTGAGGAGGGATTCCTATTTCCTCTCATTAGGACAGTCCACCTCAGCACACATCTGGGTAGCAGCCCTTTTCTGTTGACAGAAAATGACCGTCCTTGCTTCTCAGCAATGAAATTATCCTACTTGTAAAGGGCTCAATTTTACTCCCATTGGCTTCAGTGGTGCAGGATTTGTCCAAAGGTAAACAAATGTACTGAGAACTTTGAGACTGATTTCTGTAAATAAAGCCTTTGTTTGTGAGTAACTTGAATGTGCCAAATGAGTTGTACATAATCAGGAAGGGGAAGAGATTCTTTCATTCTCAACATCTTCTGATTTGTTCTACTCTTAGCAAACTTGGAGAGATCTTAAGATGTGAGAGCTTGAGCTGAAAATAGTGTAGATGGTTCAGAAGTAGCATTTAAATCAGTGAGGAAGAAAGAACTGGTAAGAGGGTTTTCCATAGTTTCTCTTCGGGATTATGTAAATTGTAAAACCTAGAGGGTTGCTCTGCAACTGTTGTCTACTGAGAAGTTGCCAAACTCTTCCTAACATATTGCTGTTTTTTATGCGTCAAGTGTATGCAAAGGAAATGGGAAGGATTTCCTTTCTGTTTCATATGCTTCCTTAAAATGAGGCCTTATCCACCTGGCTATGAGAAGACTAAGCTCATTCTTCTAGAAGGAAATAAACATTGGTCTGATTTCCTAAAGATTTTAACCCCGCTGAGACAAAGTAAGGATATTTCATGCATTATGTCAAAAAAGTGATGAAGTTTGTTTTTTTTTTGTATAACCCATGCAAAAAAAACCCCAAAAAACCTTTAATTAATCTAACATTAAGCACACAAAAATCAGGATATACCAAGGAAAGGCAGGTGAATGCTTGTTCAATTTTAACTCTGCCTTATTTTTGCATATGCATTACAGAGGTATCTAATTACTCAATCATATACTTTTTCTATAACCAACTAGGGCAAATTTAAGATGGAGTGAATGTTCGGTGATAATTCAGCATTTTCTGACATTTATGTTCCACTTTCATGTTGCACTACCAGAGTTCTTTGCATACGATTTCCATAGGGTTTGAAAAATTTTAAGTTGACAGAAACAGAAAAAAGAAAGGAAGAAGAAAAAAAATAAAGATGTGAAACTACTGAATGCAAGTACAATATATATGGTGTGTAAATGAGAATATGCATGTATATGTAGGGGCTAGGTATACATTATGTACTCAATGAAAGGGTGTATGGTGTTTGTCTTTGTAGGTAGGTGCAGATAAAGCCATGTACACAACTACAAGCAATCTTAACACCATGTAGGGAGGGATATCCATACATGCAATCTCTCTCTCTCTCTCTCTCTCTCTCTCTCTCTCTCTCTCTCACAGAGTGTGGGGTGAACTGAGGATCTCTCTATAGAACATATTAAAGTATGCACTTGGTAAAATTTCTATCGAAATAATTCCATAGGGCATTTTTATAATTCAACTTCAAACAGTTTCCCTCCAAACTTAGCATAGCAGGCACTTCTTATTGAGAAATACTTTTCACATCCCAAGTCTCCTAGCGACCTTCTTTGCCACACTCAAAGGACTCCTTAAAACTACCGGTAATTTCTTCCAAAAGGCCTTTCCACAATAAATGTCTAAGGGCCTGACAAGTTAAGCCCACCTGCTTGTGCTGGGATTTGTGCATAGTTAACAACACTGTAAGAGTGTTTTTCAAGACTCATCTGTGTTCTATGTTTTTCTGATCTGTATGACCCACATTATGTTTGAAATATACAAGGTTTCTATCTACACTGCAAGCTACTTGGGGTAAGGTCTTCATTTTCCTACATGTTCTCTTTAGCAGCAAATACATTTTAAAATTCAGATATCTTTATCTGAGTTATAACAAATGTGTCCATAATTTATTTAATGTTTAACAAATTTAATGTTTCCACCCTCACATAACTCTTAAAATGCTCAAGGGATTTGCTTCAAAATGTATTTAAACACATTTTTTTAACTGAGACAAAAAAAAAAGTTAGAACGTAAGAACAGCCATACTGGGTCAGTCATCTAGCCCAATATCCTGTCTTCCGACAGTGGCCAATACCAGGTGCCCCAGAGGGAATGAACAGAACAGATAATCACCAAAGTGATCCATCCCCCGTCACCCATTCCCAGCTTCTGGGAAACAGAGGCTAGGACACCATCCCTGTCCATTCTGGCTAATAGCCATTGATGGACAATGAACTTATCTAGGTCTTTTTTGATAAGAGCCTTTGGTGAGGATCCTTGTCAAAGGCTTTCTGAAAATCTAAGTACACTATATTCACTGGATCCCCCTTGTCCACATGCTTGTTGACCCCCTCAAATAATTCCAGTAGATTGGTGAGGCATGATTTCCCTTTACAAAAACCATGTTGACTCTTCCCCAAAAAATTATGTTCATCTATGTGTCTGACAATTTTGTTATTTACTATAGTTTCAACAAGTTTGCCTGGTACTGAAGTCAAGCTTACCAGCCTGTAATTGCTGGGATCACCTCTGGAACCCTTTTTAAAAAGGAGGGAATCTCCCTCACATCCTCAGCTGTGAAGACCGATGCAAAGAATTCATTTAGTTTCTCCGCAATGGTTTTATCGTCCTTGAGTGTTCCTTTAGCATCTTGATCATCCAGTTGCCCCACTGGTTGTTTAGCAGGCTTCCTGCTTCTGATGTACTTAAAAAAAAAATGGTGTTACTTTTTGAGTCTTTGGCTAGCTGTCCTTCAAATTCTTTTTTGGCCTTCCTACTTATATTTTTACATTTCATTTGCCAGAGTTTATGCTCCTTTCTATTTTCCTCAATAGGATACAACTTCCACTTTTTAAAGGATGCCTTTTTGCCTCTCACTGCTTCTTTTACTTTGTTCTTTTGCCACGGTGGCACTTTTTGGTTCTCTTACTATGTTTTTTAATTTGGGGTATACATTTAAGTTGAGCCTCTACTATGGTGTCTTTAAAAAGTTTCCATGCAGCTTGCAGGGATTCACTTTTGTACCTTTTAATTTCTGTTTAACTAACCTTCTCATTTTTGTGTAGTTCCCCTTTCTGGAATTAAATGCTAGAGTGTTGGACTGCTGTGGTGTTTTCCCTGCCACAAGGATGTTAAATTTAATTGTATTATGGTCACTATTACCAAGTGCTCCAGCTAGCTGCACCTCTTGGACCAGATCCTGTGCTCCACTTAGGACTAAATCAAGAATTGCCTCTTGTGACGTTGCAGTCTATATGATTTTATAAAAATATGCTAATGAGTGAATATAATGTAACTGGAATATGCTTCATGCAAAAGGTCTCTTGTAAGGTATCATTACAAAGCTTATAAATCTACTGAGTGTGATCATCCTATTTGTATAAATGTACCACTCTTGTATCTGAAACTAGAAATATGAAATATAACTCTGAGGGCCTATTGCAATTATGCAAAGTGTGGTCCATTAATGGTGGTTTGGAATCTTGATGACTCCCATTAACCAGGACAACTGACTGCAGATGGCTGTGTTTTACCTGTAAGCCTTCCTGTATACATGTGTGCTAGCAAGTGGGCAATGAAGTCTTGCAATAACATGTGATCATGTCACCTGAACTGGAATCCATCTTTAACCTGGTGTCTTTCCATTGAGAAGGAGGGGGTGGGAACCCAGAGAGGGACAAAGGATTCCTGCCTAATGCAAAAGATATATAAAGGGATGGAACAGAACAAAGCGGGAGGAGCCATCATGAAGAATCCCCTAGCTACCACCTGAGCTGGAACAAGAGCTGTACCAGGGGAAAGAGTTGTGCCCAGGCCTGGAAGGTGTCCTGTCTGAGGAAAGAAACTTACTGAAGCATCTCTGAGGATGAGATTATGTGTATTCAGTTTGATTAGACATAGATTTGTGCATTTTATTTTATTTTGCTTGGTGACTTACTTTGTTCTGTCTGTTACTACTTGGAACCACTTAAATCCTACTTTCTGTATTTAATAAAATCACTTTTTACTTACTAACTCAGAGTATACCTGGGGAGGCAAACAGCTGTGCATATCTCTCTATCAGTGTTATAGAGGGCGAACAATTTATGAGTTTACCCTGTATAAGCTTTATTCAGGGTAAAACGGATTTATTTGGGTTTAGACCCCATTGGGAGTTGGGCATCTGAGTGTTAAAGACAGGAACACTTCTGTTAGCTGCTTTCAGGTAAACCTGCAGCTTTGGGGAAAGTAATTCAAACCCTGGGTCTTTGCTGGAGCAGACGGGAGTGTCTGGATCAGCAAGACAGGGTGCTGGGGCCCCGAGCTGGCAGGGAAAGCAGGGGCAGAAGTAGTCTTGGCACATTGGGTGGCAGCTCCCAAGGGGGGTTCTGTGATCTAACCCGTCACACCTCTCCTCTTGTGGGTTCCAGGACTAGCTGCTCAAGAAGCAGTCATTTAAGGTGTCAAGAAACTTTATCTCTGCATCCCATCCTGAGGTGACATGTACCCAGCCAATATAGTTGAAACCCCTCATTATTATTGAGGTTTTTTATTGTTAGAGCCTCTCTAATCTCCCTGAGCATTTCACAGTCACTATCACCATCCCAGGTGGTTGGTAATATAGCCCGACTGCTATATTCTTATTACTAGAGCATGGAATTACTAGCCATAGAGAGTCTATGGTACAGTTTGGTTCATTTAAGATTTTTACTTCATTTGATTCTACGCTTTCTTTCACATATAGTGCCACACCCCCACCAGCACGACCTGTTCTGTCCTTCTGATATATTTTGTACCCTGGTATTACTGAGTTCCATTGATTAACCTCATTCCACCAAGTATCTGTGATGCCTATTATATCAATAGCCTTATTTAATACGAGACACTCTAGTTCACCCATCTTATTATTTAGACTTCTAGCATTGATATATAAGCACTTTAAAAACTTGTCATTTTTTAGCTGTCTGCCATTACACGATGTAATTGAATAGGACTTTTTTTCATTTGACTGTTCCTCATCAGATCCTACCTGCATTTTATCATCTTCCCTCCTCTCCTCCTTACTAGGACATAGAGAATCTCCATTAATAGATCCTCCACTAAGAGAGTTTCAACTCAAAAGACAAATCCTTCAAAAACCATCAGCCACTGAAATCAGAGGGAAGACTCTCATTGACTTCAATGGGTGTTGGACTCAGCCCAAAACTTAGAAATACTAGAAAAAAAGGGGTTCATAATAGGAAGCTTTTCACAATCTAAACTACAGCTTTTGGTACTACCAAAACCTATTTTAAAGGTTGAATGCACGTCTGCAAACTAAAAATATTAAGAAGTCTTTTCACATTTCAACACAAAATATTTAGGCAGTGTTTGTAGGTACAGGGAGCTAATTTTCTAGAGCATGCTTTCCAAACAACAATTGTGAAAGGATTTCCCTACATTTAATTTCAGCATTTTTTTCCCCCTGAATAAGGGGTTTGACCAGATACAGTACTGAGACTTACAAAAGCACAGTGGAGCTCTGAGAACACGTAAATGTTAAGAGGGTGGTCAGACAACATGTAAGAAAAGGGGTTAAGGGGTTGACAGTGCCCTATAACTATAATATAATCAAATACCCCTGTGCTATCTACAACCATCAGATAGTGCAGTTCAGATAATTAAACTAAAAACCAGGCCCTGGAATTAGAAAACTTCAATGAGATTCAGGCTACGTCTACACTAGGGCTGGTACAGCTATAGTGGCAAAGTACTGCTAGAGGGGCCAGAGCTATACTGACAAAATTGCACTGTTGCCAGTGTAACTGTGTCTATGGTAGGGGCTTTTGATGGCCCAGCTATGTCACTAAAATCACATTCCATCATACCTTAACTGAAATAACTATGTCAGCAAAAGCCTTCTAGTGCAGACATAGCCTCAATGGGACAGAACACGTGATTCTCACAAAAAAATTTACCAGTTCATCTGTAAACCAGATGCACTGCCATCAGCTCTGAAGACTGCTGCTCACCTGGAAATCAGATTCAAGTGAGGCAATGGAATAGAAGCAGTGAACAAAAGAGGGAGTGGAGAGTGCAGAGGTGAGCTGGGGACAAACAGGGTTTTTTTCACCACTGTAAACCCATAGTATGTGTGCCCACATCACACAAATAGCTCTATTTTACAAGGTAATGGCTAGAATTACTATAGTGAAAGGAACTCTAAAAGGATTAATTTATTGTGCTCTTATCAGAAGTGTTCTCAATAGCTTACCCAGTTGTTTTTTTTGCCAGCATAAATTTCCATGTTTTCTCCATACTGGGGTTCTTCAAGTAAAGTCTGGTATTCAAACATGAGGCGAGAGCTCTCCCGTAATCGGCTGCATTGGAATTGGTGATACTGCTGGACGAGCTCTTTCACAACAAGCAGGAGACATTCAGGATTTGAGGGATTCCAGGAGGCTAAATTCTGTTGAATAAGGGAGAACAAAAGCACAGACTAGTTTACAGCAGTAGAAAGAGATGAGCATTCTTGCCTACATACTAATTAGTACTTATAAAGTCCTCATCAACATAGTGTCTTGTTACATCTGAGGACCTGAGACCTTTCCATTCACAAAACAAAAAATGATCTGAACAGTTCATGAGAATTGGTTCAGACAAATGCAGCCCTGTATTGAATCTGAATCAAAAAGTACTAAGTCAAGTTAGTGCCAGTGAATATGCCAAACTGATAATAGCCTTGAAAATCATATTCCTCTGCTTATCCACAGAACAGGTACTGCATGGGCTGGAGCAGAACAAGCTTCTACCCAGTTGCCTCAACCAAATGCCTATGGGCCTGTTGTCACTGCAGAGTTAATTAGAGTTATAAACTGAGTGTTGCCCTTGACTCAAGTCCCATCCGCACACAGAACCCCTTAACTTCAGTGTGTTGCTGTTTTTAAACTTGAGTTGGCTGGCCTGTCAGGGGGCATAGACTACAGCTCAAGTTAACACAAAACGTCAGCTGCTGACATGACCACTCTGTGATAACTAATCCAATCACTCTGTGCAGCTCAAGTACTATTTCAGAGCTGTTCTCACTCAACTTCGGCTAAGGCTATGTCCTCAGAGCAAAAAACGTGTGTGGGGTGGAGGGGTTCCCCAGCAGGATAGCTAATGTACATTAAGTATCCCGCTGAAAAATCCTAGTGCAGTTTTTATCACAAAGTAACTAGGAGAGGTCAACACTATACACTCAGCTGCGGATGACTTCACTTAATTTACCTTGTGTCTACTAAGGACTTGTGTCTACTAAGTTTTTACAATGGGATAGCTAATACATGTTAGATTTAATTTAACTGTATTCATTGTATCATTAATTATGTTATGGTGCCTAGAGCCTGGAACAGGTGTCTACTTTTAAAGCTAACTAATAAAATAATAAATAATATCAGTCCTCTCTCTGCCCCTTCAATTTAGGCATCTCTACTCAAACCATCTAAAGAACCTACAATTACTTTTGACATGGAAATATTAACTACTTATAATGGATATTTAAATTGTATACAATCTGCATGTGTGAATAAAAACACATTGACATTTCTGAACATTCTAAAGCAGAACAATTTTTTTTTTAATATGTAACATTTCAAAAGATAGAAAAGGTTTTGTTTTCTAAAAAAAATTAAGAGCAAGTGACTGTTTTGTATTAATATATGCCAAAATTTATTTTTTTAACCCAGATTTTCATAAAATGAATTAAATCGGAATAAAAAATATGGAGAGGCTAAACAAGGGAAAGGATCCAGAGTTCTGACTTGTAAAATAAAAAACAGCTGTGTCAAATATCTATTCTGTCATTCTGGGAATGGAGATAGGACACTTGTATAGCTATCCAGGCATGAGATCACAGTCCTATATGAACACTATTTCAAGCAAAATGTACTAACGATACATATCTTGCAGAAGGATGTGACCATTTGTTTCGGGTTATTAAAAATGGAACTTATCATATTTCTTGTAAATGAAAATTGTAAGCTTATAGTACACATCCTCAGACTACTTTTATAGGAATTGAATGTATCAGTGTTTATGTCAACTTCACTTTTCTTTTTCTCTCTGCAAGTATGTTTCTCTTTGGGCCACTTCATCATTTATCCGGGAATAGATTTAAATATTAAATTATTAAAAAGATATTCCCCAGTTTTGAATGTTATGATCCAAAGTAAAACACAACTACAATCTGTCAGCGGGAGAGATATTGTGTATGTGTAAAACATCAAGATCCTTTCTTTGCAAAACTGTCATGAAGTTTACCAACATAGGCATAAAATCAATGTTATCAACTCTTATGATTTTATTTCAAGTTTCATGATATTTGGCATTTTCTTCAAGCCCCAAATCCTGGAGGATTTCTGTGAGAATCTCAGCTTTTACTACAACTTTTCTAGAAATCATGGCTGGGAGAACATATGAACATATGAAAATATGAATCATGCATACCCTAACAGCTCAAAATCCACAAGGCAATCAAAAGAATGCATTTTTAAAAAAAAAAATCTCATTACTTTTAAGCCACTATCTTGACGGTTTGGGGCCTGACTCATGATTTTTGAATGCCTGGGGTTGGCAATGCTGCAATATCTACTCACCACTCATTATCAGAAAAATAAAAATAAAATCATGACGATGTATCAATCACCCATTTAAAAATAGAGTGGGTGAACTGAATTTTGGAAGGCTGGTCTCATGCTTCAAAAATATAGACCCCATTCTTGCCTGAACAGACACAAGTCACGTGAACAGAGTGCTTAAGGGAATAGTTACATCCAAAGTGTGTATATGAAACAGGCCAGGGACTGATAGATTTGTAATACCTCTCGTCTGAAAAAGATGCCCTGACTTCAGAACTATGACTATGCTAAAGAGCCAGATGACCTACGATATCTCTATTTTTATCTCTCTCTCTTACACACACACACACACACACACACACACACGGCAATTGCCTAGAAAACTGTTACAGCTGAGTGCTGACTTGTGATCCTGGGATGAAGAATGGTCCAGTGGCTAGTTGCTAGCCTGTGACTCCAAAGACAGAGATACAATTTCCTGCTTTGCCACGAACTTCCTGTGTGACCTTGGGAAAACCACTTTGGATACTGAGACACAGACTCACTATCTGTAAAATGGGGATAATAGTACTGCCCTATCTCACAGACTGTTGTGAAGATAAATACATTCAAGTTTGTGAGGTGCACAGATTCTATATTCATGAGAGCCATATAAGTACTTAAGATAGATACCACAGAAGTGATTATGAAAACCCTCAGAACTGACAATCATTTCTTATCAACCTGAGTTCATTTAAGTTTAGTCGATTTAATAAAATAGTCTACAAAATACTATTCAGTACACAGTGTCTTCTAGGAAACAGAGCTTGCATCATACAGTCTGAAACCAAGCAAACATACTAATAACCTCAGACTTCCTGTTCCCAGCACCTAGTCAAACAGAGCATTTCCAGAAAGCTGAAGAATGTAATATGCTCATATGTACTGACAGCAGCCAGAGAAATAGGAATAACCTTTCCACCAAATTCTATTGTGTTACATCAACGACAACATGTTGTCAAAGGAAATGACCGATGATATTTTAATAACTGGCCTAATTGTAACTGAGCATTTTTTTAAAAAATAACATTGTACCAGAAAACAAGAAGGCAGCAAGAGGAAGCTCATTGTCATCTATTCTGTATAGAACTACAGAATGCCAATTGCCCTTGTCAACAAGGAATTCAACAATATCACATCAGAACAAAGTTTTTATACTATCTTGCCACCCATGGCATATCAATTACAGGAATTCAAAAGAAATTATGTCGTTGCAGGGCTTCTAGGTTAATATGTCTTTCATTCAGAAACTAGCTAGATATATATATAGATAACCAGTAACACGGCAGATAACTTGTTAGGGAAAAAAAACAGAGAACTTAGCAAACCTAGCAAATGCTGTGCAGATTTCCCAGTGCAAATATATGTATTTATTTAAATACAGTCACACACAAAGTAAAGTAAGAAATATGTATAATGGCTACATTCCCTTTCTATAGCGCAAGCTATTTATTACACATAATTTTAAGACATACACCACCAAAAATATATGTTTCTCAGAATAAAAATTACAAGTGGCAAGTGGACATGATGTTCCCAACCATTCTTTTACCTTTTCAGTTATACCATTTTTATTAAAAGGTCTTTTTTACATGAGGTTACACCAACTAAAGATAAAAAGAAAAACCTTAAAAACTGTTTTAACACAACTGCATGAATAAATTGAGATTTTTCTCCATGGGATTTTCTCCTAAGTGCTACTCAGTTGCTGTAGTATTTGCTGATCTGAGGACACTTAACTTTTCAATCATCTTATCCTCATCCAATCTCAATAATATGTGAAAATACATGTTTAGCTGTTCCTTAAGTGTTTCAGATAGTACCTTCTTTAAAATATTCCTTCTTTTATTTTACAATAATCCAAAGGCAATGTAAGCACTCTGCTGCAATTTTTCAGCTTTGGGTAGAGAAAAAGTTAAAAGAAACCATTTAAAAATGTTAAGAGTCATCAAGTTCTATTTTAGTTAGCGATTATAAAACATATGATAATCACTACAACTAAATCATAAAGAAGAGTAACAAATTAAGTTACAACGGGTCAAACCCTTCCTCTGAAAATACACATATAGCTCTCACTGAAGTCAGTGGGAGTTGTTGTCTCTGTGTATCTGAGAGAAAAAAATGCCCGTACATTTTTTAAGAGAAAGGAATGAAATAAAAAAGTAATTTACTTAATTATCCAGGTTCCTGAATGTATTATGGGCCTTCAGAAGAGATGTTAATGAAAGGGGGTTTGGATTTAAGGCTTGTCTACATGAACACTTAGTTCACGGCAAGTTTGGGTGTGACTCTACCCTGCACTAGACCGCCACACATTAAGTGCTCTGTGGACCCTCATGCCGTGCACTAAAACTTCCCTAGTGTGCTTTAATCTACTCCTACTTCAAAGCCCACAAGGGAATTTTTAGTGCAGGGTCCAAACAAACGCTTAGTCCGTAACATGCTAGTTCAGGTTAGATTTACACCCCAGCTTCCCATAAAACTGTTTGTTTAGACAAGGCCTAAGACTCTGGAGAAACCTATAGGTCATGCTGTCAAATAGTGTTTCAGTTGACACTGTGATGATTTAGGTTATTAATTCCTAATTTTTTCTTTGTGATTTCATATAAGTTTTATACAACATGAATTCATATCTTTCTTCATGCCTGCACATGCCGCAATTTGTTTACAGAAGGAATTCAGGGCTAAGTCATAAATAAATAAAATGTTGCGTGTAAGGTAATTGAAATCAGCCACCTGTAACAGCTGATGCTTTGCACACCAACCAGTTCAGGGATCAAAAGCGAAATCCCAGCTCAGTTTAGCAATCCTA